TTCGCCATAATATTGGACATTTTAGAAATTTCTCAAATTTTGTTGAACATATATATAGTTACTGCTTTRTCATGACAAGGAATTAGATCTAACTAATACTAAATTAAACAGTGATTGACTTAATATACAGATGTCACTATTTCTTGAAATGCATTAATTGCCAAATTGTTGGCAATTCGGTGTATTGAATCATACAACTACCCCATAAACTGACCGCCTGATCTTATTTTGTTTTGCTTTGCCCTAACCTATTATATAGAATCATTAATTATATTCTCAAATGTATTTCTATGTTGTTACAAAAAATTCTGTATCTTTTGATGTATACTAATTAAAGCCAAAACCTGTGCATTGCCCTTGAAAACAAACTTCATATTGATCTGTTATTTATGTTTAGATTTTTGAGTGAGTCCTAATGAAAGTTGTTTCTATAATATCAATACCTGAAAATGAATAGGTCAAGGTAATACCAATAAACTTTCCCTCTGCTTCTAAAGGGCTTGGGACCTTCTAGCGTAAACGCTAGGCAGCATTAAAAGTCAGTATTGTTTGGAGGGATTTCCTGCAGATACCAAGCTGATCAAAAGGAAAAAGCTGGGCTGTGTTGGTTCGGAAAGATAGAAGTCCACAAGGCTAAAAGGCTAAAAGTTGTTTAGCCTTGTAAGGAATTCTTTAACCTGAAGGAAGAGATTAATGCCATAGTTGSCATMTTCTTCAAGTGGAACAAATGTATCTCTCAACACTTGAAGGTACTCCTCTTGTAGATGGAAGGCAACAGGAGGGATGGAGACACCTTCAACTTCATTATCAGGATCTGGCATTGGGGCATCTGGGTCATCACCATAAAAGTCAATATCATCAGGATTGTCAAATAAATCTCGGACTCCAGAGTTTGTAGAGTTGAAATTGCTAAGAAGCCCAGAGGCCCAAAGTTGTCGGGGTGTCCTGTTACCCTCAGTAGATAATGAGTGGTAGTTGAACCTCTCCTTAAAGGAATCCAATGACCGTTGAATCCTGGGCAAGAAGACATAATGAAGTGCAAAAATGTCAAGCTCTTGTCCAGGATTCAAAAACA